AAAAAAAAAAAAAAAAAAAACACAAAGAGAGGCATATGTACTTTGAGAGTAAATGTGTGTATATGCATTTGGAGCAACAGAGAAGAGTTAGGATGGAGGAGAGACCGTGAAAACTAAGTACCTGATTCTCACGAGCACTTTCATGTCTCCGTGGACCTAGGACAAAGTTTTGAAAACACATTAATATTGCTGAAGTGGAAAAAGAATAGCACCAAAGCAATTACATTTATATTATAAACACAATTATATCGATGTTACCTAAAATGTAGCAAAAACTGGTATAAATAACATTAAACTAAAATGAGTTGGAAAATCATCAAGAAAATCAGTTGATATCTGCACATTTCTTACATTTTTTTTTTTTATTTGATAATTCATTTCTTACATATTTGGTTCATATGAAACCCCATATTAATTCACTACAGAATAAAATGCTTATCCAAAAAAGGATTCCTAATTATCAATAATAAAGGCATCTCCAAGAATAAATATGGAAACCAAAAACCAAACCAAATTTTAAACTTACGATCTACATGGTTTTCACGTCTAGCTGCATTTGCATTTCCTTCCCATGGCACATTCATTGCAGCATTATGTTCATTACTCACCATTGATGGCCTTCTATATTCTTCAACGCGTGGTTCACAATCATTCAACTCATAAAGATGGCCATGATCATAATATGAAAAACTACCCAAATCAGAGAGTCCAAACTTGTAATAATTTGTAGTCATTGATGGGTATATACTCTCCTGCACAAGAGAAATTCATTCTTAATGTAACCTTGGCAGAGATCTTCCATTTACAAACAAAAATTTCTGCTAGATCTCATTGCACACATTATTTATTATAGGAAAAAAATTAAAACACACCCAGAGATACACTCTTGAAAGACACTAATAATGTAAAGGATATGGCTTATAAATAATCCTATCATGACATTACATTAAAAGGTATGGAACAGAATTAAACCTCTTGGGCAACCTTTATCAACAAGCACAAAATTATCATACTTCCAATCCAATTATTCTTGAACATTAATAGATAAAATGAAAGCATTTTACTATAGTAAACACTCCACAGATGAAGGAATTCTTAACTAAATAGTACCTGAACATGAGATGCACCATCAAAAATGAAATTAACATGTTCATAAGTGAGGCCCTCAAAATATTCCATAAAGCTCCCAGCACTATTATAAGGGTAGCTGGTGTTGACATAATGAACCTCCATATGTGGGTTCCAACTCATCTTTCAACCAACGATCTACAACACAAACAAAGCATACCATAATTCCCAGAAATAAAAACGATTGTAATTTTATTGCAGATATGCAATGAAGTGTACAAGAAAAGCAAAATGTAGAACTACAAACCTGATCCTGTCAATTGTGAAGATTCACTCTGATTTCAATTTGCACCTTAAAGAGTACCCGCGCAATAGTCTCCAAATCTAAGCTTCCTACAAAGAAACAGCTGTGAACAAAATTAAAATTAAAGACCAAATGTTTTGAACACAAGGTAATTAAAATGACTAGCAGTTTGCTAGTTTCTGAAGCAAACAAAAATGCAAAAATGCTTAAAACATCTACAGCTTAATATCATTCATTTGATTAAACACAACTTAATTATCCGCAGAAACTGATCCTCAAATTAATAACCGACAAAATGCAGGGGAATCCGAGGAATAGAGAGCGCGGAAACATTTCGCTCTCGTTAGCCGAGTAATCCGCCGCTGTAAATACAAAACAAACACAAATCTGAAACACTCACGGCTTTTTTATCACTTCCTTCAACTCGATTTTTCTCGGTAACCAAACAGAAAATCAGATAATCAACTCATTTCATGATTTTGGATTAACAACAATGACTAACTCATCGCCGATTCTTCTACCTCAACCTTTCTCCGCAAGTAAACACGAAATAAAAGAATGAACAAGCTAATTGCACGATAAGAAACAAACAAAATCAGCAATGCTTATAATTATCGCATTTCTGCTTCTCTTACCTCAAATTTTCTCAGCAACCAAACAGGAAATGATAGGATTAACTAACGCATTGACGATTTTGGGATCTCCGACTGCGATCCGGAGAGGATCACGGGAAGAGAGAGCGTTTTCTTCTCTTCCTTCACAGGGAAATGTGAAGGGAAATGAGAAAGCTACTAGATGAGGAGATCAAGCGCGAGCTAGATAAAATGGGAGACAGTAAATATATAAATAAAAATAAATATTAATATCATAAAGAAAAAAAAAAAAAAAAAGATTCTTTGGAAAATAAAGGGAGTAGAGTGACGCCTTTATGAAATGGTTTCAGGAACACGCGAACTCTGTTAAAAACGATGCCGTGTTTCTTGCTGTGGAATAAGACACTGAAAAATATAGTTTTTATTATAGTTTTTATTTTATTTCATTTGCATGTAAAAAAATTTATTATTAAATTATTTAAATCATTAATAAAAATATATATTATAATTTATATTGCATAATATTATAAAATATTAATCATTAAAAGATTAACAATTTTATAAATTTTTTTATTTAATAATTAATATTTTATAATTTAATATAATTTCAATAATAAAATACCATGCCCTTTTAAAATATTGTGTTGATTCCACTTACAAAAAGAATTTCTCCAACAAAATTCCTTCTTTTGATAAAAACCTATGGAATAAAAAAAAAGGGGTGAGAGGGCTATTGGCCTATTTTAGAATAGGATGCATATTTTTTTTAGTGGTAGCTTACTAGCTTAAACAAAATTAAGGCAATTGTGCCCTAAAAAGAATGGCAGAAAGCTCAACAAAAATTAGAAGGATTTTGAGAGTTGCTCACCAAAAATGAATCAAGGGCTACAAGTAGGGGAACCATGGCCCAGGAATGTTGTTCAGGGATGCACTTAGTGGTTGGCTTTTGACCAGAAAAATGGAGCATATGGTTGGAAAGAAGCTACCAAACTAAAACCATCTCTTATCTCAGCTTTAAGAGAGGAGGGGACAGGAAGTTGGAGTCAGTTTAGGTTGGTTAAAAGAGTCAAGCTATAAAAAGAAATTGGAAACCATGATCTTTTATATAGATGCCCAATTTATCATTCTTGTGTAAATTAGAAAAAGAAAAACATGTATTGTATTAGAAAGATCAATGTGAATCAGGCTATAATTGTTTTTTTTTTTCAATTGTCTACAGAAAAAAAAAAAGTATAAAAGAGAACAAATCATCCAAGACATTTTGGAATTTTCTTCAAGGAGGGACCTACATTTGTGTTGGCCCATAAAAGAAGAATTAGAGTGATACTTGTGACTTAAGGTTAAAAAGGAAATCATTCCCAAGGACAGCAGGCGTTTGTTAGTTTATGATTAGGTTCCCTACCGTGTGGGGGTACAATGAGATGGGATTTATTGGCATTTTCCATCATCTACTCAGCACTTCGTGACATGGTTTTGGTCCCTCATCATATTGCATCTCAAAATGGTAGCTTTCTATTTTAAGATGAATCTCTAAATTCCTCACATATGATAAATGCAAATATTGCTAGGTAAATTTGTTTGTGTTTTTAGTTGTTTTCTACAAGTATATTTAATCACCAGCCTCTCTGATTTTCCAAATTCCTTTCAATTTGTCCAAAAATTGGAATTCGAGACTTTCAAATTTTAACCAATCGAGATACCCTTTGGGGCTGTTAGGCTTGGTAAGCATGTTAGATGGGTTAAGAATGTTGAATATCTTTACTTCCTTTGTCTTAAAGTGAGGGAATGGCGTCTTCAAGCTAAATGACTAGGCAGGCAGACCCACACAAAAAGTAATTTTGGTGCATCCCAATAATTTTGCTGGGCCAATCACTATTCGCAGGTGACTCAAACGCAGTAATCTAGCACTAAAAGCTGCCCTGACAAAGAGACTAAAGGTTGTCTGTCAGGCATGTGGAAGAGAGAGATGATAAAAGAAGCAGACATGGAATTATAAGTGAGAGAAGAGGGAACTGAACCTGAAGAATTACAAAACCTGGCGTGCAAGCAAGGAAGGATCATATAATATTCCCACGTTCTTTTTTGTCTCGATGATCCAAAGTACATTCCAACTGTTGAACCAAACTTACCTGTTGGAAATATCACTTTGCTTTTGTGTATGTTTATGTTGTTCTTTTTCTATCTCATTTCATCCATCTAAAAATTTCCAAACGAACTGAAATTCTGTGAAATTACTATATGTCTTCGGGTAGATTAAAATTCAACATCAAAATACTAGGAAAATTTTAGATACCAAAGAAAAACAGTGCATAGATAACAGGAGATCTGACCTGATCATGGCAAAGTCAGCAATTTTCTGATAGCGATCATACCAGAAGTTAATGGCCAAGCTGGCAAAAAATAGAACTTCTGGGTCTTGGACAGACATGAGAAGAACAATCGAAGCAAATTGATAATTGAACATTAATAGTCTGACATGCCTGCATTACATGATGCAATAGGCCTGTGCAGAATAATTTCCACAAAATATAGGCCTTTGTGTTTCAAGTTCAAATGATAAGAGACTGTCATCACTATGGATGGCAAGATCAGACATACATTCAACAAATTCTGATTGTCTTGTTAGCTGAACCAAGCAATTGTAGATCTGTTCAGATTCAGGGTGAGATTTATCCCTGACAATGAACTCATAAACAATGCCATTTACCTCAATTGAGCTACAACCAGGTGTCTTTTCTACTCCCCGCTTCCTCATCATCTTCCTTACCTTCCCTGCTTTCTCCCACATATTTGCATCACCATACATGTTGGCAAGTAATACATAAGTTCCACTGTCATGAGGATCCAGTTCAAGAAGTTTCATGCCAACTCTTTGGCCCATCAAGACATTGCCATGAACTCGACATGCAAAGAACAATGCTCCCCACACCACAGCATCTGTCTGAAATTGAATAGGCATGCTGTTGATTAGTTCCTCTGCTTCTTCCAAAAGACCAGCTCTGCCTAGGAGGTCCACCATGCAAGAGTAGTGTTTCAGTTGAGGGTATAGATTGAACTTAGAACTCATTTGGGCAAAATATTTACGACCCTCATCAACCAATCCTCCATGACAACAGGCTGACAAAACCCCAAGAAAGGTTATCTCATCTGGCATTAATCCAACATCAATCATCTCCAAGAAATAAGATATGGCATCATGTGCACTCCCATGAAGGGCTAAACCTCCAATAATGGCTGTCCATGTCAAAGAATTTCTAGCTGGCATCTCATGGAAAACCTGGAGAGCCCTTGTGATGTTCCCACACTTAGCATACATGTCAACTAGAGCAGTCCCCAGAGCAACATTCAAATAAAGATTGTGTTTTTTAATATATTGGTCAATCCATATTCCAACATCGAGAGCTCCAATTTGTGAGCATGCAGATAAGCAATGAACCATTGTTACCTCATCAGGCCTTACATTACCAGCTTGCATTTCATGAAATAAAGCCAACGCCTCCTTACCACACTCAGCTTGTACATAGCCTCCTATTAATGCATTCCATGGCACAACATCCCTCTCTGGCATCTCCTCAAGAAGTTTCCTAGCAGCATTGAAAAACCCAAATCTGGCATATCCAACAACCATTGCAGTCCAAGATACAATTGTTTTCTTCTCCATATTATCAAATATTCTTTGTGCTTCCTCAAGGTCCCCGCACTTAACATACATGTCCATGATTGCATTAGCTAGTGGTATTGTCAAATTCAATCCAGTTTCTTCAATGTACTGATGAGATTCTCTCCCCATGTTTAAATTCTCTAACTCTGCACACGATGAAACCACCCCAATCATAGTCACCTCATCCGGCTCAACTCCCTCCACCTGCATTTCTCTGAAAAGCTCTAGTGCATCCTTTGCCCTACCACTCCTAACATAGCCATTAATCAAAGAATTCCAGGACACCAAGTCTCTTACAAGACTTTCATCAAATACCTTCCGTGCCAACTCTTGTTCCCCACATGACACCAACATATGAATCACAGCATTATGCACATATATATCGGCATCAAGACCCAACTTCAAAATATGATCAAGAATCTCATGACCCACATCTTTCAACACCAAACCAGCACAAATTTTAAGCATAGGAGGATAAGTAAAATTATCTGGCCTACACCCACCATGCTCCAACATTTTCCTATACAAAACAATAACATCTTCAGGGTTTTCACTCTCTGCAGCCCCTCTAATCGCTATATTCCAAGAAAACAAATTTGGGTTTTGCAAATTATACAGTATCTTGGTACAGTAATCAAAATTTCTGCAGTCTGACACCGCGCAAAAACAAACAAGGCGGCTGGAAGCAAACCCATCGAAGATTAAGCCCGTCATAACCATTTGAGCTTGAATTTGCTTCACTTGGCACAAGGATTTGCATTTTTCTAGAAGTGAGAGAAGTGGATTCTTGAGAACGATTGGGTGAGTTGCGTTCCTGTTGGTGGGATTTTCTCTGAAACGAGGAAGAGAGCGTCTAGAAAGAGATGAGGAAGATAGAAACCGAGGTTTTGAGGGGGATTTTGGGATCAACTGTAAAGATCTCAATTCGATAACATAGAGAAGGATCATTACTCACTTAGATTTCCGCTGAGATTTCCTTCATGCTAATAGAAGGCGGGAAGACTGTAATCTTTCAGGGGGCTGATTGAAGAAATTTCTCTAATTTTATGAATGGGTAAATGACTATTCTTGTCCTAAACTTTCAACTTGAGTACAGTTTGGTCTCAATCTTCAGTTTTTGTTCCTATAAACTCCAATCTATTTTTTAAAAAACAAACCAACTGGTCATAACTCAAAAAATAAAGAAAAAGAGTAAGAGTTTAGACTCTAAATATATGTGTAAAAACACTTTTATACTAATAATATAATTATATTTTTTTAACTTTTCTTACCAATTCTAATTTTTTAAGTTAATTTTTAAACTGTAATGCAATACAGTGGTATTGATTCTAAATTAATAAAATAGCCTCCATAAGTTGTAGTTTCAAACACCATCATTCTCTTTTCCTTAATCCTCATTTCCCCCTCCTCAAAAAATATAAACTTATTTTAAAAAAATCAAATCTTTTAAGTCATAACTCATTTGGTACTTCTAAACATTAAAAAAAAAAGAAAAGAAAAGAAAAGAAAAAAAGGGACAAACCTTAGTTGGTACTTCTGTTAAGACCAGCCGTCAACTACGAAAAGAAAATGGAGGTGTTGATGTGGTAGTAATGTGGGTTCCGAATTCCGATACCCAACAAGCTGAAAATAAAGTCACATACTGCCCAAAAGCCCAGGCCTCATAAAGCCCAAGTTCGGACACAGTGACCTTGAGGGTACAAAACCCTCCCAAAACCTTCCCTAAACCTTGCCGCCAGCGCCGACTGAATAGAACGGTGGCCGCCGGCGTTGCGATAACCCAGAAATACAATCCAATGCATTTTCTCTCTCGTTCTCTTCTAAGGAGTAATCTTTACTTCCACCAATATTGCAGAACCTTCTCGGACTCCGCCCCGACCATCAAATGTCTCAGGGACCGAGGCCTCGACCATGCTGTGGAGCGGGAGAAGAACCTCAGACCGCTCCTCAACGTCAAGAACTTGATCAAATCGGAGCCGGCCAAGTCTCTCCCCATCTCAATCATCGCCCAGCATAAAGACTTTCTCGAGATCCTCATCCGTCCTATCGATTTCATCCGGAGATATCCGTCAATTTTTGAGGAGTTTCTTCCTGGAGGAATTGGGATCCACCCCCATATCAAGCTCACGCCGGAGGTGCTCAATCTTGATGCTGAAGAGCAGTTGGTTTACCAGAGTGAGTCTTACAAGCAAGAACTAGCTGATAGGCTTTTGAAATTGTTGATGATATCTAGAATCAATAGGATACCCTTAAGGGTTCTTGATATCTTGAAATGGGATTTGGGTCTTCCTCAAGATTATGTGAAAAATCTTGTTCCAGAGTTTCCCGATTATTTTCGGGTCATTGGTGGGAAAGAATCCTCATCTGGGTTAGAAGGGTTAGGGGAACTGGAGTTGGTTTGTTGGAGTAACAAGTTAGCAGTTTCAGTTTTAGAGAAGAAGGTAATGAATGGAGAAAAGGATTGTTCAAAGGGGATGCCTATTGCATTCCCTATGAAGTTTTCAGAGGGAATGGTGATTGATAAGAAGGCTAAGAAGTGGGTGGACGAGTGGCAGAAGTTGCCATACGTGTCACCATATGAGAATGCAGCTCATCTTTCGCCTTCTAGTGATGAATCTGACAAGTGGGCTGCTGCAATTTTGCATGAGCTTTTGAACCTTTTCGTGGCAAAGAAGACAGAAAGGGAGAATGTCTTGTGTCTTGGGGAGCATTTGGGCATAAGGTCAAGGTTTAAGAGAGTTTTGCTTCATCATCCGGGAATCTTTTATGTGTCTAGTAAGCTTGGGACATATACTGTGGTTCTTAGGGAGGCGTATAAGAGGGGCTTGTTGATGGAGAATAATCCGTTAATGAGAATTAGGAATCAGTATATTCACCTGATGCACATGGTGAAGGAAGATAAAGCTGTTGCTGTTTCTAGTGGAAACAAGCAGGATAAGAAGCAGGACAAGGAGATGATTAAAAGGCCTGAAAAGGAAGAGAACGATGTGGGTTTGAATGACTTGTCTGGTTCTGAAATTGAAGATGCTAGTGATGATGATGATCATGAGGAGGAGGAGGTGGAGAAGGAGGGTCAAAGAGGTACACATGGAAATGCCACAGTAAGAAGACGGAAAACAAATGACACGAAGGTTTTGGGTTCAAAAGCAGGCTTGAGGAGCACTGAAGGAGAAAGGGTGATCAGGAAACATCGTGGCATGAATAAGGACAGAATGGAGGAGGGGGAGTATGAAAATAGAGGTCAGCGAGGTTTACATAATGCGAGGGTAAGAGGAGGAAAAACAAATAACTGGAAGATTTCGGGTTCAAAAGCAGGTTTGAGAAACACTGAAGGAGAAAATCAAATGAGGAAACATCGCAGGATGGCTAAGGACAAAATCCCACCTACAACTTCTAGAAGAACTGAAGTTCATGGTGAACGCAATACCCATAGAAGCAGTGGGAGATCATTGACAGGGAAGAGGAGTGTCTATTAACTGAGGAATTAGTTTCATCTTCTGGGACAACATCTGAACAGATTACCTCACCTCCGGCAAAAGATAGTGAGGATACATCACAGGGTAAATGAATCTCTCTCAGTTTCTCTCTGCTATTGGTGCAGAATTTTTGTACATGGAGAATGCGTACTGGTTTCCTCATTAGCTTTGAAGTTCCAAAATTTTCTCCAAGAATGTGGACTAGCAAAGTGTATGCTGAGTTTCTGCACAGGGTTAAGAGCCAGGCCTTAATTTTTTTTGTCTTTTTAATTTCCCAGAATACAGGGCCTTACTTATTGAGTAGATTTCCAGGCTTTTATGCTGTTGTATTATCATTCATCTGTTTTGAGGTAATATAATGTTTATCTGTTTTTTCTCTAAAGTAGCAGTTCTTGATGGGAAAAGATTATTAACTTGTGTGGGAGACCTCAATCCCCAATCATGAAAAAATAATCCCCTAGAAAATAGACATAAATGTGCATAATTTGACAATTGAGAAAGACAATTATAAAAGGAAATCTCCTTAAATTGCAAGAACTTTAAGCAAAACTGGGGCCAATAAATTCCCTAATTAAGGAATGCTTTAGGAGAAAGATCCCTTGGACTAAGTTATTCAATGAAGATATAAAAAATGGCCTCATAAAAGATCTTGAATAGAATTGAAAATCATTTTCATCATCATCTGTATCTGTATCTGTCCAAGAAGGAGATATGTTGATTATGCCCCTCCAGAACCATACTTCTTTCCAAAGACAATCATCTGAAGCTTATCATAGCCAGCCAGGACACCAGCACCAGCAATTCCACGGAGTATGTTTGCACCAGCACCCTTGAAGAGAGATTTCATACCCTCATTCTTAATGATCTGAGAGAAAGCATGAAGCGAGGTCTTGTACTTGACAGCTTCGCCAGATGTCATCATCATTCTTCTACGGACAGTGTCCATTGGGTAGGCCGCAAGTCCAGCACCATTGGTAATAACCCAACCAAGAGCAAAGCTAGCAAAGAAGCTATCCTGAAATTTTCCAGCATAAAAATGCATCAGTGACAAAATTTTGGGTTAGGAAAAAAACAAACATTCTTTGTCAAAGCTTATCTTAATGTTACACCATCTATCACAATCACAGCAACAACCACAAGTGAAAGATCAGGTATTCAATTTTTGCTAGCTTGTTAGACAAAAATTTGTCCAAGCATCTACTAACCTGCAATTTTCCAACGAGGATAACCGGCTTCAAAGAATCATACATTCCAAAGTAAAGGCCTCGATACACAATGATGCCAACTAATGAAATATTGAAACCTCGATAAAGCCCAGCAATACCATCTGACTTAAGAGTCTTCCTATACACATCAACCAAGCCATTAAATTGCCTCTCGCCTCCCTTCTTTGCAGCTTTGGCATCATTAGTAAGACGAGTCCTAGCATAGTCAAGGGAATAAACAAAGAGTTGGGAAGAGGCACCGGCAGCAGCACCAGATGCCAAGTTGCCAGCAAACCACTTCCAGTAGCCATCACGGTCCTTTCTAAAGTTGAATAGTCTCTTGAAGTAATCTTTAAATGCAAAGTTAAAGGCCTGTAGAGGAAATCAGATAATGAGAAATGAGAAATTGCAAGGAGGAGCGAATCAAAAAAATTAATAGAATTTGAAATTTTAGTGCTAACATGACCAGCTATGACTAACCTGAGTAGGGAAATAACGAATCACATTAGTTGTGTTTCCTCTCCATAGAGAAACAAACCCCTCGTCCTGAATTGTCCGTTTGAAGCAATCCCCAATACCCTTGTAGGATTCAGAGAGCCTACCAGCCTTGATCAGCTCATCTTGGTTTTGAATCAAGAGCTTCACACGCTCAATTGGAGCAGCAGCAGTTTTGGACACTGCAGCAGAAACTCCACCCATGAGAAAATCAATAGCAAAGCCAGCAAAGCCTTTCTCTGATGGAGCATTGACACAGACAGGTGATGTCCTCGAAGAAACCAAGGATAAATCACTTGTTGCCCGGCATGCATTTGTTAAAGGATACGGCAGTGCAGCATTGCTATAATTTGCATATGTAAAATGCCTCTGAGGCATAGCAGGTCTTTGGAAACCCCCATAGCGATTTTGAAGCTCATCATGGGAAAGGCTAGAACAGAGGTGGAGTTGTCCAGCTACCTTTTGCATGACAGCAGGATACTGGTGTGTATCAGCCATCACTTCTCACAAATAATTTAAGTCCTACAGGAGAAGATGAAATATTATAATTATAATTCATAATTCACTGTTAAAAAGAAAGAAAAGAAATCAATCACTCTAATTGCGGGATAAAATTGAATCTATAACACATATGCTACATGAAAAATAGCAAATCAATCAATAACTACTAATGTTAATGCAAAGTGATGAGACATCAGATGCAAATGAAAGGAATACAACAGCAAAGGACAGCCATCAACAACCATGTATTTTCAATGGCAGAAATGACATTCTTTTGCAGCTTAAGGAAATATACTCCATACTTCCTCACTCATTCTATTTCAATTTGCAGAAATAACACAACACAAGACCACTAAATTGACAATCATCCCAAGAAAGAAATCTGATATTTCGATAGCAGACTCCAGACCTAACATAAGATTACATCAGTGCAATATCTAAGATATGTATGCATATGCATAAAGAGATCTAAATTAAATGAACAAAAAGAGAGAAAGAAGCATAAATCAAAAGAGATGGCTAGCCTGCAAAAGGGAATGATAGAAAGGGAACAGAAACACACGAAAACAGGAGATCTAAAGAAGCAAATATCAAGAAAAAGGGATGTGAGAAATGGGTTTAATAAGAAAACGAGAGAGGAGTTCTATACAAGTGAAACACCATATAAGCCGAAATAGCAGCAGACCCCATAAACACATAAAGAAGAACAGTTTCAACAAACACACACCCATCACATATTGATGTTAAGGGGAGAGGGAAAATATAGCAGCTTTTTTAGAGGAAAAGAGTGAGAGACCTTTGGGCTATATACCTGAAATGTGGAAGCGCGCGGGAGAAAGAAGGAGGCTCCTGAAATGTGGACAGAGATGAGACCTCCAGGCAGCAGGGTTTGGCTTTATAAAACGCTGTAGCACGGAGCGCGAATGAATAACAGTCAAAAACGACACAGGGCAGTCGTAGCTTCCAAATTTTGATAATTAAGTAGTCTTTTTGGGCGGCAGCTTGCTGTATCTGATATTTATAAGGAAATGATATAATTATAATATTAAAAAATTATATCCATCCATTTTATCTTTTAAAAATTAAGAAAAAAATTATTTCAAAATTATATTATTTTAATTAATTTTTATTAAAAAAATTAAAATATTTTATTTCAAAGACATAAATTAAAGTATTTTTTTTATTTTTTGTAATATTTTATTAAAATTACATAATTCTAAAATATTTTTTTTTAATTTTTAAGAATTAAAGCGAATAAATACCAATATCATAATATTATATGATATTATAAATTTATAATATAGTATATTTAATTCTTTTTTAAATTTATTTGATGTTTATGTATATATGTATTTAATAATATTAAAAATTTATAATTTTATATGATATTACATTTGTTATTAATTGTCAATTAAAAATCAACTTATCTACCAATAAAAATTTGATTAAATTAATATTTATTAATTTTAAAACGTTGATTTAAGGATAAAATTAAATATTTAAATCTTTATAAAGTTAAGTACCCATTTATTTTATGTAAAAAAAAAAATTTAAAAATAAATAAATCAATCTGCCTAACTATCTCTGTGTAAAAAAAAATTAAAAAAAATGTATATATAATGATGATGAAATCAGTCCGACCAAATGCATCCAAATTTTTTTTGGATTCCTTGGAGGCGCAATGTGTAATCCTCAGTCATTCCCAACGTTACATTTTTTTGGAGATGAACTCAGATGATTGACCGGTGCATATGTTGGAATCTTCTACCTTTTACAAATATAAAATATATTTAGTAATGTATCTTTTTGACAAATATGTGGAATATGTCAAATATTTTTCCCCATGAGATGGGAAGGTTACGAGAAAGTTTGCTGCATCTTTGAAATATCGTTAATATAATATTCTTAGTCAATCATAACATACTTTTTTCAAAGGATACAGCTTTGAAATTTATATTGGTAAACTTGCCATTCATCTTTCTTTTATTTCTTTTTAATTTTGTGCATTTTTTTAAATAAAAGAGGTTGAATTTAACAGATAATTCTGACCTCTATTTCTAAACGTGAAATATATGCCAGGTCAATGATTTTTTTTTTTTGGTTTGCCAGCAAGTCAATGATGAGTTGGTAACAAAATTTCCTTGCTCCTGTTGTAGCGTTTACTTTGGTGCAGTTTTGACCGTAGAAGGAGAATTTTACCAACAATTCTGAAATTGAAATGCTACCAACAGCCAATCAGATTGAGTTCTCCATGAAAATATATAAATAATGTCCGAAAATCCCCATGTGTATTTTTAAATTTTGTCTGGAAAATACATCCTAATCTTGGAGCCTTAGAGGGACATTCTAAAGACTTGGAAAATAATCTCTTTCCCCCTAATTGCACATGTTAAAAAATAATGTAAAATAAAATTACAGTAATTGTAAGCAGGAGATCTGCTGATCTTCACATTGAAACTTTCCAGCATTCCAAACAACAAACTTCAAAATTTTAACTTTTATTAACTAAAATGGCAAGTCAATCTGTCAAGGGACATTCTGCAATTCAACCTGTGAGATTAGGTGAAGACTAGCGAACCTATGAGAAGTTAGCTAGGTTGATGTGGGATGGGGAATCTGTCCTTGAGTGACTTGAACTTGCAGAGGCTTCTTATATGACTGCAATAACAGAGAGGAACAAACTACGCTGACAGAGGAGGCAGCCATGCAAGCACCAGCAAGCCATGGAGGTAAACGAATGCCGGTGAAAGGGTATAAGATTCCAGCTGCAACCGGCAGGCCAAGTATGTTGTAACCAAGGGCCCAGACGTAGTTTAGACGAATCCGAGAAATGGTCTTTCTAGAGAGGTCTATTGCCGTAATTACATCCTCCAAGTTATTTTTGATGAGAACTACATCAGCTGCCTCTATCGCTACGTCAGTACCTGCACCAATTGCTATGCCAACATCAGCAGCAACCAGAGCAGGTGAGTCATTTATTCCATCCCCCACCATAGCAACAGTGTACCCTTTCATCTGCATGGGTTTTTGTCAAGCTGTTAATAAGAGCTTACACATGATCATATTATGTAGCGGAATTACCAACAATATTAAAATAAGAGAACCTGTAAATCTTTGATCCTTTCTGCTTTTCCAAGAGGATCTGTTTCAGCAACCACATTCTCTATTCCAACTTCCTTTGCAATGGCTCTTGCAGTAGCCCAGTTATCACCAGTTACCATGATGCTTGAAATGCCCATTGAGCGGAGGTAAGATATGACACGAACAGCTTCTGGCTTCACTGGATCGGTTACAGCAATAGCTCCAGCAACCTTTCCGTCAATGGCAACTAACACACATGTTCGGGCAAGCTGCTCATTCTCTGAAATATAGTTCTCGACCTCAGAATCAACAGGAATATCATAAGTCTTCATTAGCCTCTTGTTCCCAACCAAGACCATCTTGTCCCCAACTTTTCCACTCACACCAGCTCCAAGGTGCACCTTAAACTCCCTAGCTTCTGCAAAATATTCAGTGTTTGATCCAGACCCCTGACTCAATTTCCTTGCATGCTCAACCACAGCTTTTGCTATTGGATGTTCACTATTTGCCTGAACATTTTAAAAACAGAAACAACCTTGACTCTCATCCAGTAGCATTACAAAATATTTCAAGTTTCAATAAGCGATAACATGGCATTGGCTTTCGTTTAAGTATTAGAAAGCTGAAAATGAAGTCTCTTATATAGGGCAAACTTTTTTTTTGTTTGTATTGCAGCAATTATCAGACACTTACCTCTGCAGTGGAAGCCAAATTACAGAAATCTTCCATTGATATACTTGAAAAGAGCATTACACTTACAACTTCTGGTTTCCCAACCGTCAGAGTCCCCGTCTTATCAAACACAATTGTTTTAACCTGTAAGGTTTGGGATTTTTTTATTT